TCAGGTCGGCGGCGAATCGCTGAAGGTCGAGGTTCACCACCTTCTCTTTACCGCCATCTTTTTTAGCCACATTCAGCGATCCTCGACGATCCGCCGACCCGCTCTGGTAGTCGGCAAAGCGGCTCGCTACCTCGACGACCAGCAGCTGTCCACTAGGTTTTAGAATTCGATTCGCCTCTCTGACTATGTCCTTCAAGTTGGTGGGCATCAGCGACAGTGAGTAGACGGCGGCGTCGACCGTAGCGGAGTCAAGGGGAAGGCGAGCCATGTCGGCGGAGATGACCGAGGAATCAGCTTCTGAAGAATAGAGGTCGTAAGAGTAAACTTCGATGTTCGAAAAGTCGGGCAGAAGAGCCTCGGCGATGCGAGCCCGCGAGCCGCAGCCGACGTCGGCGATGACGAAATTGCCTGCCTCGTTCTTTTTCCTTTTTTGAAGGCGCTTCTAAAAGAGAGAGGGAAAGCAAAGAGATTTAGAAATAGAATCCTGAATCAAAACAAACCGTAGAAGACCACGTTACCTTTAAGATATCAATCAGGTACTCGACGGGCTGCAGTGGCCACTGGGCGGCCAGCCCCTCATACGCCTGGTGGTAGAGGCGAAACTGGGCGGCGGTGAACTTCCGCCGACTTTCCTTCGAGTCCGAGGTGTAGAGCAGCTCGTTGAGGGAGCGGAACATCGAGGCGGCCAGTGTCTGCTTCGCCTTGGCGCCCAGCTCGGCGGAGCGGCGAATCGCTTCAGAATTATTATCTTTGGCTGATTCTGCTGAAGCGGTTTTGTTGTTGTTGAGGTTCTTTTGGTTGAGGTTCTTTTTGTTGATGATCGCCTCCTTTTCCTTTTCCTCCTCCTTTTTGGCCTTTTTTGCTCGAGGTTCCTCTACCTCTTCAGCTTCCTCTTCTTCTTTCTCCTCGTAGACCTCGTCCTCAAGGTCGTCCTCGACGTCGAAATCACCTTCTTCATCTTCGTCATCCTCTTCAACGAAGCCCTTATCATTGAAAGCGGCAATCATGCTGGCCACATCACGACTCAACGCTTGCTGGAGTTTGTTGTGGTGATGGGGATTGCTGTTGTTGCCAGTCACCACTTTCTGCTTCTTTTTGCTATTTTGCTTTGTCGGCTCACTTTTATCATCAGCATCACCATCATCAACTGCAACAGCAGCTTGACCACTCTTTCCCTCTTTCGCCTTCTTCTTCTTCTTGTTCTTCTTTTTCATGTTTTTCTTCGAAGACAGATTTTCACCACCGCCGTCACTGTCGACTTTCGTACTTCTCACCTCTTCTTCTTCAGCTGTCGATATCTGCTGCTGCTGCTGCTGCTGCTGCTGCTCGTCACCATCGTTTCCAGCAATCATCTTTTTCCCCTTCATCTTCTTCTGTTTCAATTTCCTCGGCTCATCACTTTTGTCCACCACCACAGTCGCCGTCGCCGCCTTCACCGCCGCCGATGTTGCTTTTTGTTCAAGCTGCTGACGATGATTTTTTGGCCGTCGCTGTTGCTGCTGCTGCTGCTGCTGCTGATATGCCGGCTCTGCCGCCACCACAACTGCCTTCTTCTCAGGCAAGACCACCGCCTCAGTTGGCTTCTTCGCCAGATATCGCTGCAGCTTGTTGCGGTCTTTTGGGTTGAACATGATGCTGATGCTGATGATCCTGGAACAAGATTAAAAGTTTTGGGAATTAGAATCGGAAAGTTGGAAAAATGCCGCAAAAATAAAAGCACGTGCTGTTTTGTTTTGAAGAGGGAAAGCGCGTGAGAGAGAGGGATCGATGCTATCGCGCCGCCGCCGCTATCGATTGTGCTGTGGCGCCGAACAAAAAAAAGTGCAAAGAATCGCCAATTTTGCCTTCGATAGAATCTCTTCGCCTGATTTCTGACGCCAGGACAGACCCAGGAACAGACTTTAGCGCAGTACTGAAAAGGACCGAAAGTGGAGGAGTGAAGAAGAAAATCGCAGCAACCAAGACATCTTTTATTCGGCCATGTGAAAAAACCAAGCGAAGAAGCGATAAGAGCAGCCTGCCTGTCTTGCTTTGCTATACCGCTGATGGCAGCAGAAAAAAGCCAATTCAGGCGAATTTCTTCTTCAGTCAGCTCCTTCTTCTTCTTCTTCTTCTTC